GGTGTGGTGGGGTGGGGTGGGATAGGTGGGGAGGGGGGGAGGGGTTGGTGAGGATGGGGAATAAGGTGGGGAAGATTCAAGAAGAGTTTTGAAAAATATTTTTTTATCTTTTGATAGGGAAAGCATTTTCCTTCAATTGGAGGAAAATGAGTTTATGAGAAAAATATTTTCCAAAACATTTAAGCTACCAAATATGGAAAAATTAAAAAATATTTTCCTTCATACCAAACACACCCATAATCTTTTTCCTTTTTTCGTTTTGGGATTATGTTCTGGATTCATTCGCAAATGCTAAGTCCATTGAATTACCAGTGTTCGTAAAAACTATAGTGGTAATAAAAGTCCTCACCATTTATTTACTGTTCGTTAAGACAACTTTTGATAGATAGCAATAAAACGAGAAAATGACACTGTATAGATGCTCTCAAAATAATAGGCGAAAAATATTTATTTTTGTATATATATACTGTTGCGAAAGATCATGGGTTAACTAGCACACAATCCCATACAAAGCAAATAAAGAAGACAAATCAGCACAAGGCTTTAATGAGGTTCGGCTAAGCCTAATCCTCGGCGCAGAAGCAGAGAAAGTTTTCCACTATGCATGAGAAGAAAAACACAGTAAAATCTTTAGAATCCCCAACTACAACCTCTATATATAGATCCCAAATAGTCCGAAATCTACAAGAGAAAAGTTTTTCAATTTGACAAGGACAATAGCTTTTCGTTTCCCAAATCTATTAGGACAATGAGTTTTCCTAAACCTATAGGGATTATGGGTTTCCTAAAAATACAAGGAAATAATTCAAGCCACAAAATAACAAATCTTCCCCTTTGCTTGAATTTTCTTCATCAAATATCATCTGTATAGGTGCATCAAAAATATCATCTTGATCAATATTTTGCACCTCCTCCACTTCTTCTACTTTATAACTATTGGGTTGAGCTAGTGGAGATTCAATTTTTAGCTCTTTGCGGTCATTGACACCACGATTTATTTTCGCTATTGCCTTCTCTCTCTGACTGTCTAGTGAGGCAGATTCATTAAATGTCACATCCCTACTGATATTAGCCCTGGAGTCTTTTGATCTGTGCACCACAACCTATAACCTTTCACTCCAGTTGCATATCGTAGAAATATGCACTTCTTTGCCCTCGACACAAGTTTTTCATCCCTCACGTGAGCATAAACAGGACAACCAAATATCCTTAAATTTGAATAATCAACAGGCGAACCGGACCATACCTCAAAAGGAGTTTTGAACTCAATAGCCGTGGATGGAGATCTATTGACCAAATAACAAGTTGTATTGATTGCTTCAGCCCAAAAATCCTTTCTAATACATGAATGTGAAAACATGCTTCGTGTCCTATCACAAAGCGTTCTGTTCATATGTTTTGCAATACCATTTTGTTGTGGTGTTCCGACACAAGTGAGTGTCACATTATGCCCTCTCTGTCGCAGAAATTATCGAACTCAAAATTGTAAAATTCCAACCCATTGTCAGTTCGAAGACGCTTAACTTTTCTTTCCATCTGTCTCTCAATCATCGTCTTCCATTTAACAAATATTGGAAATGCCTCATCTTTTGTTTTCAGAAAAAAAAATTACACACACACCATCCTTCAATAATCATCAATCAAAGTCATAAAATACCGGGCACAACTTTTGGAGGGAACTCTGTTTGGACCCCACAAGTCTAAATGTATATAATCTAACTTGTCTCTGGTCTTGTGCTCTGCCTTCTTGCTGAATTTTACTCATATCTGTTTACCAAACACACAATGCTCACAAAAATTCGAAACTTGGTTTTTGTGCCCATCCAACAAATTCTGCTTGGTTAACAAAGACAAATCCCATGTCACTCATATAAACAACTCGCAAGTGGCTACAACTGAGACTGATTCATATCACTTTTCTCAGAAGCTACAACAGCTTCCCCTTCAACTACACTGGCCCGAAGATGATACAATTTAGAATGTAGTTTACCTTTCATGAGTACCATGAAACCTTTACACACTTTAAGTATTCCATTCTCGGAGTGAAACTTATACCCTTGATCATCCAAAGTCGAAAGAGAGATCAAATTTCTCTTTATTTGAGGAACATGCTAATACTCAATGTTTCTGATAATTTCATCGAACATTTTCAGTTTGATGTTACCAATCATCATCTCCCATGTAGAAAATTTCACTCATTTGCTTGTAAGTTGAACTCCAATTCTTGTGTGGACGCATGTAGAAAGTAGCACCAAAATCAAGAATCTAGGAATTCTTCCCATGACTAGAACTCGCGGCACATACTTCCACTACATAATCACTACCATCAGAATTATTTCCAGTATCAACAACATTTGTCGAATTATCTATTTTCTGCTTC